ACAGCTCATGGGCAGCAAAGGGTTAATACGCACAGACAGCTCACGAGCAGCAAAGGGTTAATCCACATAGACAGCTCCAGGCAGCAAAGAGTTAATCCACACAGATGACTCACAGGCAGCAAAGGGTTAATCCGCACAGATGGCTCACGGGCAGCAAAGAGTTAATCTGCACAGACAGCTCATGGGCAGCAAAGGGTTAATCTACACAGACGGCTCATGGGCAGCAAAGGGTTAATCTACACAGACGGCTCATGGGCAGCAAAGGGTTAATCCGCACAGAGGAGCTCCAGGCAGCAGAGAGTTAACCCCACACAGGGGAGGGATCCATGCAGCATGACTGGCAGGCAGTGAAGGGAGTTGGTGAGAGGAGGGGGGGGGGATGGATCTGTGAGGAGGTCTGGCCAACACCTCAGACCTAACTCACACCAGCAGGAACAGCAGCCAGGAAATCCTACACTGGGACTGGGGCCCCACTCTACATGATATACAGAGCCGGGCACGTATCCATTGCTGTGGTAACCCAAGACTTAGTGTTGGGTTACCATAGCAATGGGCCCACCCCCCTCAATGCCGGCCCTGCACAGGAAGTGCGGCCTTTGTCCCTGGCGGGCACAAGGCGCGGGAAGACAGGATCGCGCCGTGCCCATGGGGACAGGAAGGGGGGTGACAGGAGGGGAACCTACATGTGGATTCCAACAGCAGGGGGCCCAACTTTCTGGCACTCGGACAGAGGAGCAGAGAATGCTCCCTCGGCAGGGGGCCAGATTGCTGGCAACAGAAGAGCGAGGAGCTGCTGGGGGGTGGCAGGCAGCAAACCTGGGGATGGGGGGAGAGACCAGCTCTGTGACACCAGTTCTCTCAGTTTTTTTGTAGTCCTGTCCTAGGGGACTACCCCTTAGTCCCCTGTCCACTAGGAGGGAAGTGTGTTACTAATAAGATCACCAGGTAAAAATAAAGAAAAAACAAATCCTGGAAAAAAGAAACAGCTACTACATTTAAATATTGGTAAGCTGCAATATGTTTCATTTTTGTTCTTTGGTTTAGATATACTCATTATCGTCCATTGTGGGACATAGGAATAGTAGATAATCTTAGATCATGGGGCTATACTGTCAAAAAAAATGCGAAAAGAGAAGTTGAGATTTTTGGGGGGGTTTTTTTTAGAAATCATACTTACCTAGGTGGATGCAGCATCCGACCAACTATGCATCTTTCCCCCAAACCCCCCAGGCTCTAATACTGAAAAGTGAGCCATCAAGGACTGTTGAATGCTCAGTTCTCAGTGTTCTGTGAGCTGGGATGTGGAGGGGGAGAGAGTGGCTGGGTGGCTGGCTTAGGCTCTCAGCAGATTGCTTAGAAGCTGAGCCAGGTGCTGATCCAGACATTGGGGTGGATCCCAAGTTTAAAGATGGAACTGGCCTGATAGCTCACTGTCAGCTGAAAACGAGTCACACGAGTGCAGAAAGAACTGCACTCCTGTGATCCACAGGAGAGAAGTACAGCCAAATTAGCTTCACCTCTACCATCTTGCCTCAGTTTTTGCTAGTGCCCTAAGAGGATGGACCCTGAGGAAAAATTCCAACTATATCTTTACTATTTTGCTCTTCTCTATCAACATACTTGGTACTATGTAGATGTTTTTTCTCTTCAATCAAGACATCCAATATGCTGCTTCAGTTGTTCTCAATACAACAGCTTTCCGGATCGGTGTATTCTAAGCAGAGGCGTAACTTGAAGCTTGTTGGCCTTGGTGGAAAAGTTAACCTTAAAGTGTAACTAAAGGCAAAACTTTTTTAAAAAATTTGGATTAAGTAAGAAAGGGTTATAACCCCTATCAATTTTTTTTCTCCATCTCAGTCACATAGGGGAGATTTTCCTTCACTCCTTGTTCCATAACCAAAACAGGAAGTGAGAGGAAATCCCTCCAAAGTGAGAGAATCCCGAACCAGAACTAGTGTCCCCATTGGAAGATTTCCCCTCTATTACTATTCTACCCAAAATTGTCAAAATGTCAACCCAAAATTTGAAATTTTCTTTTACTTTCAATGATAACGGCAAACAGGACAAATAGAGAGGGTGAATCTCCCTAATGGTGGGCACAGACAGCAGTAAAGACTGACAGGTACTCTAAACTCTCTCCACTCTATCCAAAACTAGGATCCACTGTTGGGAGATCATTCCATGTACTCTAGACAATGGTTACTGAGAAATGTTATCTGGAGATATTGTCATAACCTAGACTTGGCTGCTTGGGAGTGGTGTCATATTATTCATGAAGGAAAGAATTGTTTGCTAATTTGCTAAAAACAAACTTCATAAAATCTTCATAGTAATAACACATTTAAGATTGCACACACATCAACTTCTCATGCTATAGCAGGGTTTCTCAATCAGGGTTCTACGAGAAGTCCCCAGGGGTTCTGCTGCAATTCACCATTGTGGCAGATGTATATCCACCCAGTGGGGATTCCATTGTGCACTGATAGTATGTTCTTACCGAGCACATTGATACCCGATGCCTCCCCTATAGTTGCAGCTACTGTGATGTCACTGCAGAAGGCATTGCAGGATTATAGGTGTGTGTGCAGCATGGGAGAAACATCCTGTCTCCCTTGTAGTAGCTATTGATGTAATGCCAGCTGGGGAATATCCCAACTTTTATACAGCGTCTCTGTGTATAAAATAACCAGTGTTGCTAATATCTTCTTAGTGAATATTCTTCTTCCACAAGTGCCAAAATCCTCTTCTTTCACTTAGTGCCCTCAAAAAAAATATAAGGCTCAGATGAAGTCGGAAGTGACGAAACGCGTCAGTCGTGACGTCGGATGTAAACTGAAAGTTATGGAGCAGCCATTTTGCAAAAGGTTTTTTTACACAGTTTGCCAGTCTTATACATGCTGATACACCTTGTCTTTCTTGTAAGCACAATTTGATCATTAAAGGAGCTATATCCCTATCGTTGCCTACTACACGATGCTGGTTGTACTTTGCTACATGTTATGATGCCATTTGATAACTGGATGATCTGTACAGTGAGAAGAGCTCCCCTTTTCTAAAGCGTATGGATCTTATCGTCTGGTAAGATAAGAGGTGGCGGTCAGTGTGCACACTAGCACTGGGAGTTTGTTACGAGGGGAGCACGAGCAGAGTGAAAGTATTTTTGTGATACAATAGTATATGCGATTCCTTTGGAGGTATATTTCCAATGCGAAGGCGGACGGATTTAGGAGCATAACTACAAAGGAAAGTTGTGTGGAAGCTTTTTTTAATTTATAAGAGGGTAAGAGTAAGGATGACGGATGGTTAAAGGTGCACACACGGTGGAGTGGATTTTTGCATGCATTGGCACAATATTTGTAAATGCGTTTTGCTATGTTGAATATCATGCATTGTAGATAATGCACTATATGCGATTTATATTTTTTTGAGTGCACTAAGTGGAGGAAGAGGATTATTTGGCACTTGTGGAAGAAGAATATTCACTAAGAAGATATTAGCACCACTGGTTATTTTATACACAGAGATGCTAAATAAAAGTTGGACTGTTTTGGACTTTCGGGGGAGAAAGTGTATTTTGGCATTGGGGGTTTTTCATTTTTTATAATTAGGTTCATTATTTTTGTGTCATCACCTATTATTATACCGATATATTTATTTATCAACTAGGGAATATGTTGCAACCAGGTGAAACTTTTTGTAGGTGAATCTGTACTGACATTTATCTGCAGAGTGGCACAGGGAAGCATACTTAAATGTACTGTGCTGATCCCTGCTGGCCCTCCTCTTCTGTCCATCTTAGTTGCTTCTATGTGACGTCATCTGGGATCAGGGGCGGACTGACCGTTTAAAAACTCGGGCACTGCCCGAGGGCCCGGGGTCAGTAGGGGGCCCCATGAGATGCCCCTGGTACCTTTTTCATAGGCTTTTTTGAGTTTGGGCAAGGACACAGGGACCCCATGATCCCCTATTGCCCGGGGGCCCCATGAGTTGTCAGTCCGCCCCTGGCTGGGATGTATGAGAGTGGAGGACTGGTGGGGATCAGCGCTAAAACAGAATTGTAAAACAGCAGCTTCCCTGCATAGCTCTGCATGAGAAGAAAATTAAACACTACTAAAGACTCCCTATGCTGTGACCTGGTGACACTCTGGTCTAATTTAGGTTGAAGATGAAATGTGTGCGTGCTTATCTCAAGTTCAACTCAGAATTGAGCATCTCTGTGGAAAGAAGCCAGTCCAAGTTTCACATTAAGGAAGTAAGTTTTAATGTGTTTTCTATTATTTAATGCGATTTCTAAAAATAATTGTTATATCAACAGCTCGCTAATCACACCGATGTTCCGTGAGCTGTAGATCTGAAAATTATTTCAGGGGTTCCTCCAAGGAAAATGGTTGAGAAACCTTTTAGAGGGTTGAGACAAACCATTTACCTGACAAAGGTGCTTACAATGGTCAGCTTTTATTTATTTATGGAACACCTTTATCCCAGAAGGAAACAGCTATTGCTGTAATTGCTTAAAAAACGTTAGCTGGAGTTTGGCTTCAAATTGTTAGAGTATCTAAATCTGCTAGAACATCTAAGACTACACTGACCTCAGATTAACAATGCTGCTGTCTCTGTGCTCCTTCATCCACAGTGTAGGCACTCTAATACAGGAAGTGTGTTATTGGCAGGATCACTAGGTGAAAACAGAGAAAAGCCCCAAAAAAGAAAACCAATGTAGCCGCAACATCTAATGATTGGTAAGATGCAATATATTACATATTTAGTTTTGGGTTTACTATCGCTTTAAGTTACTCCCCCATTATTGATAAAAACTTATGGTACGCCTGAAACCTTTTTTTTTTCTTGCTCAGTAATCAGTTTAGATTCTTGGAGGAGGTTTTCTTAAAAATGCCTGCCCTTCTTTTTAGAAAAAGTACAAATATCTTTGAGATGTAAACCTTTATTTCTGTTTGGATACACAAAAGTGTATTTATAAAACTAATACACAGAGTAAAGCTTTAAGTTATTTGAAATATCTTCAGGATGATTCTCTTGTATTCTCGCCGGAAGTTCTTATTCAGTGCCCCATAGACCACTGCATTGAGACAGCTGTTAAAATATGCCATAAAGTAGCTGGCCACAAAGAACCAGCATGGGATTGATTCTTCTAGGTGTGGGCTTAAGGCCACCAAGAGTCCAATGATGTTCAAAGGTCCCCAGCACACTGCAAACAACACAAAGACTATGAACATAGTGATAAAACTGTGTATACTATACGCACATGTCTGCACCTGAACATTCCTTGTTGGCTTGACCCTGTGTCGAATATTAAGGACTGTCGTCCATATCCGTAGGTAGCAAAAACTGACCACGCTGATTGGTAAAAAGAAATGGAAGATCACAATGGCAAGGGTGTAAAAAGAATTGACAGACTGTGAAAACGTGCAGGAAAAGACACGTGGGTCGTAGCGCAGTGATCCCACAAAGAGATTTGGCAAGATGGCTGCTAGAGCCAGTGTCCATACCAATCCCACATACAATATAGTGCTGGTGTTGGAGAAAAGGCGAGAATAGTAGCTGCGGTGGCAGATGTAGCAGTAGCGGTTGACAGCAATTCCGGTGATGTTAAAGACCGAGCTTATTAGGCTGAGTCCCATAAAGAAGCCACTCAGTTGGCAGTGAATGTGGCCCATTCTCCAGCCTCGGTTGAAGATTGCAAGCAGAACCAGTGGAAAGGGGTAACATGCAACCAGCAGGTCTGCCACGGCAAGGCTGACCACAAAAGCATTTCCTGCAATGGAAATAGATCAAGTTATAATAAGTATATTGGCCAAAACTGATTACATCTTTACAATACAAGCACATATCCTCCTCTTTACAAACGGCAAGAACAGAGGAATGTCTGTTGATCCTGCATACAAATCCAGTGTACTCCTAACTTCCTGTTTAAGAGAGCCTGTGCTGCATTGAAATCCCAAACAGTGTTGTCAACCCTGTCTAGTTCTCCCTTCTGGACTATAGTACACCACCTCCACTTCTCAGATCTGGACCTAAGGGTAGGTGATGATGATGTTTCTTGAAATATGAGTGTAACATGGTCATTGGGGTTGATTAACCACTTGCCTACCCAGTATTTTTACCCCCTTCCTGACCAGGCCAATTCTCAGCTTTCAGCGCTGTCGCACTTTGAATGACAGTTGCGCAATCATGCAACATTGTACCCATATGAAATTTTTATATTTTTTTTGAGTCCGATATAGAGCTTTCTTTTGGTGGCATTTAATCACCACTGGGTTTTCTAAGCAAAAAAAAAAGTTTTTCTTAGTTTATTTTAAAAATTGCAAATAAGTAATTTTCCTTCTTGTGCTGATGAGGCTGCACTGATGGTCACTGATAGACTGCACTGATGAGGTGGCACTGATAAGGAGGCACTGATAGATGGCACTGATAGGCAGCCCTCATAGGCACTGAGAGGTGGCACTGATGGGCACTGATAAGCAGCACTGATGGATACTGATGACGAGGCACTGATAGGCAGCACTGATGGGCACTGGTCGGCTGCACTGATAGGCGCTGATAGGCTACACTAATAATGCCCTAATTATCAGTGAAAACGATGTCCTGACAGGTTTGCCGGTTAGCGGCCCCCTTTTTTTCCCACAGACACAGCATCTGAGGAAAGGAATGCTGATAACTGGCAATCTGTTTACATGTGATAAGCTGTGATTTGACACAGCTAAACACATGGTAAAGTGCTGCTGTGATTGGCCCTTTACCCTGATCTGTGATCCGCTGTGTCCAAAGGACACAGTGGTCACAGAATGTGCCCGATGCATGCCACAGCAGGCGCACGGGGTTCTGGGAGGACATCTGTTGACATGCACTCAGAACTGGATGACCACGCTGTAGCCATTTTTCGGCTATAGTGTGGATGGCAAGTGGTTAACTACAGCTAAATAGGCTGTTCACTTTGCATTTCATAATTTTCTCTTAGCTTAGAGCACGGGTGTCAAACTGGTGGCCCTCCAGCTGTTGCCAAACTACAAGTCCCATGAGGCATTGCAAGATTGACAGTTACAAGCATGACTCCCAAAGCCAGAGGCATGATGGGACTTGTAGTTTTGCAACAGCTGGAGGGCCGCCAGTTTGACACCCCTGGCTTAGAGCAGGGGTCCTCAAACTAAAGCCCACGGGCCAAATGCTGCCCGCCAAGGACATTTATCCGGCCCGCCGGCAGGGGCGTATTTGCCACGAGGAAGGGACACTAAGTACAGGGGCGGGCAGGGGGCTGCTGTATCTTACCTGGCTCCGGTTCCAGTCCCACGACGATCCAGTCCAGAAAGCGCTGCTCCTTCATTCACTTCGGCCGCTCCCTCACTCGATGTTCGCGCTGCTGCTCGGCTCCGCTTCCTTTCCGGTGATTGGGCGCCAGAACTGTAGCTCAGGAAAGGCATACAGGCGGCCAATCACCTGCAAGGAGGTGGAGCAGAGCGGCCCCGCTAACATCGAATGAGCGAGAGGCCAGAGTGAATGAAATAGGACAGCTGACCGCCCGGTAAGTGTGCCGTGGAGATGGTGCTGCTGCAACCAGGTATGCTGGCTGCAGCAGCAGCATGCTGGAACAGGGGTCAGCAAGTTAAGTGCCATTGGTGTCAGTGGGAGGAATAGTGCCCCATCATTGGTGTCACTGATACTAATGATGGGGCATTATTCCTCCCACTGACACCTATGATGGGGCACTATTCCTCCCCCCACTGACACCAACGATGGGGCACTATTCCTCCCACTGACACCAATGTTGGGACACTATCCCCTTCCCCCACTGACACCAATGATGGGGCACTATTCCCCCCCACACTGACACCAGCGATGGGGCACTATTCCTCCCCCCACTGACACCAACAATGGCGCACTATTCCTCCACCCACTGACACTAATGAAGGGGCACTATTCCTCCCACTGACACCAATGACGGGGCACTATTCCTCCCACTGACACCAATGATGGGGCACGATTCTTCCCACTGACACCAATGATGGGGCACTATTCCTCCCACTGACACAAATGATGGGACACTATTCCTCCCACTGACACCAATGACGGGGCACTATTCCTCCCACTGACACCAATGACGGGGCACAATTCTTCCCACTGACACCAATGATGGGGCACTATTCCTCCCACTGACACCAATGATGGGGCACTATTCCTCCCACTGACACCAATGATGGGGCACTATTTTGCTCCATAAGACACACTTGGGGGGAAATGTCTGTGCGTCTTATGGAGCGGCCGGCCCAGTATTCCCGCCGCCGTTTGTATGTCCGCAGTCTCTGGTCATCTCCTGTACTATGTCTGCAGTCTCTGGTCATCTCCTGTACTGTCCGCAGTCTCTGGTCATCTCCTGTACTGTGTCCGCAGTCTCTGGTCATCTCCTGTACTATGTCCGCAGTCTCTGGTCATTTCCTGTACTGTGTCCGCAGTCTCTGGTCATTTCCTGTACTGTGTCCGCAGTCTCTGGTCATCTCCTGTACTATGTCCGCAGTCTCTGGTCATTTCCTGTACTATGTCCGCAGTCTCTGGTCATCTCCTGTACTGTGTCCGCAGTCTCTGGTCATCTCCTGTACTGTGTCCGCAGTCTCTGGTCATTTCCTGTACTATGTCCGCAGTCTCTGGTCATCTCCTGTACTGTGTCCGCAGTCTCTGGTCATCTCCTGTACTATGTCTGCAGTCTCTGGTTATCTCCTGTACAATGTCTGCAGTCACTGGTCATCTCCTGTACTATGTGCGCAGTCTCTGGTCATTTCCTGTACTGTGTCCGCAGTCTCTCATCATCTCCTGTACTGTGTCCGCAGTCTCTGCTCATCTCCTGTACTGTGTCCGCAGTCTCTGGTCATCTCCTGTACAGTGTCCGCAGTCTCTGGTCATCTCCTGTACTGTGTCCGCAGTCTCTGGTCATCTCCTGTACAGTGTCCGCAGTCTCTGGTCATCTCCTGTACAGTGTCCGCAGTCTCTGGTCATCTCCTGTACAGTGTCCGCAGTCTCTGGTCATCTCCTGTACAGTGTCCGCAGTCTCTGGTCATCTCCTGTACAGTGTCCGCAGTCTCTGGTCATCTCCTGTACAGTGTCCGCAGTCTCTGGTCATCTCCTGTACTGTGTCCGCAGTCTCTGGTCATCTCCTGTACTGTGTCCGCAGTCTCTGGTCATCTCCTGTACTGTGTCCGCAGTCTCTGGTCCATCTCCTGTACTATGTCCGCAGTCTCTGGTCATCTCCTGTACAGTGTCCGCAGTCTCTGGTCATCTCCTGTACTGTGTCCGCAGTCTCTGGTCATCTCCTGTACTGTGTCCGCAGTCTCTGGTCATCTCCTGTACTGTTTCCGCAGTCTCTGGTCATCTCCTGTACTGTGTCTGCAGTCTCTGGTCATCTCCTGTACTGTGTCCGCAGTCTCTGGTCATCTCCTCTAGTATGTCTGCAGTCTCTGGTCATCTCCTGTACTATGTCCGCAGTCTCTGGTCCTCTCCTGTACTATGTCCGCAGTCTCTGGTCATTTCCTGTACTGTGTCCTCAGTCTCTGGTCATCCCCTGTACTGTGTCCGCAGTCTCTGGTCATCTCCTGTACTGTGTCCGCAGTCTCTGGTCATCTCCTGTACTGTGTCCGCAGTCTCTGGTCATCTCCTGTACTGTGTCCGCAGTCTCTGGTCATCTCCTGTACTGTGTCCGCAGTCTCTGGTCATCTCCTGTACTGTGTCCGCAGTCTCTGGTCATCTCCTGTACTATGTCTGCAGTCTCTGGTCATCTCCTGTACTGTCTGCTCTTGTTCATAGTTTTTTTTTTAAACTATAGTCCTGCCCTCCAACGGTCTGAGGGACAGTAAACTGCCCCCTGTTTAAAAAGTTTGAGGACCCCTGGCTTAGAGGATGGGGGGAAGCTTTACAGACATCTGTCATTCAATCATGTGCAAGCAAAAATGCATTTTATTTAAATTTTCCTTGCACATGTTTTGGCATTCTTTGCAGACTGAATTTTCACCACGTTTACTAAACTAAGAGAATATTCCCCTGCAAAGTGAACAGCCTGTTTGCGTTCAGTAAATATCCTCTTTGTGTTGTCAGCCCAAGCATGAAGTTAGGAGCTCACTGAAGAGGGTCAGGGTTAAAAGGATTTTGTTTTTTTTTGTACTTGCAGCATTGTATATTATAAATGAGCGTATATTTCAGAGCAGTACTTGATGTTTATTATTTTACCCACTTTAGTGTGCAAAGCCTAGATACTGCTGGAAAACGGCCATCTCTAGTCAGAGCAGTGAAACATTATTTCTAATTGGTTCATACTTATGCAGATCTCTCATTCTCAGTAGTCAGTAATATATAAAAAAAATGATCTTGTTGTTTTTTTGGAACACATTAGACAGGTTTTGCGGTTTTTAAAATGTGATCTTGTAAATCTTTATTTCAACTGCCAGGTTAGCCATGGCCGTCCAGCCATTTAGAATTTTGCAATCAACCACTTTTTGATACAACATAGTAAATCCAATTCCTGGTAATGAGTATAAATGTTTATTAAATTAGAAGAGCCTTTCTCAACCTACAGAAAGACAGAGAGGGGGGTGCACTGGCCTAGTGCATTAACTTAAATCACTATTTACCCCTGGTTCACATATGTGCGGCTGTGCGGGACGCGTTTTGCGTGGGCACGAGAGCCCATTCATTTGAATGGACTCCCGTGTCCGTGACACGCAGGGAAGAAGTCCCTGCACTTCTTTGGAAAATGCAGCCCACACAGGAACCTCAGTTCCCAGTAAGGTTGCGTTTTCCAGTGTGGGAGGAGTGCCATTAGAACTAATGGCACCCGCCCGCGGGTCCGCATTTCTCTTTGCACGGATTTTTGTGCGGATCCGCAGCGGCACCACCCACACAGAGGTGAACCTAGGCGGGTTCATGTGTGTGTATGTACGTACATGTGTCTTTGTGTACATGTGTATGTATGTACATGTGTCCTAGATTGTAAACTTCAAGGAGCAGGGCAAACGAACCCCACGTGTATTGCACTGTATTGTTATTGTACTGTCTCGTGTATTGTCTCCCATTGTAATGTACAGCGCTGAGCAAACTGTTGGTGCTATATAAATACTGTATAATAATAATATTGTGTCTGTGTGTATGTACATGTGTCTGTGCATGTGTATTTCTGTTTATGTACATGTATCTGTGTGTATGTGTGTCTGTACGTGCCTGTGTATGTGTACATGTGTCTCTGTGCGTGTGTGTACATGTTTGTGTGTGTACATGTGTCTGTTTTTGTGTGTGTTTGTTGGTGGCGAGTAACTCTAAGGCCTGGCTAGTAGCTCAGGACTTGAAATTTTAAGCCCTGTGCTAATATATTATAAAACAGATTTGTATACTAAAGCTTCATTCACACGGGTGTATCTATGTATACATCTGTGCGTGTATGGGATGTGTCCATGGGATGCGCAGGTTTTCAGTGCATCTGCGTGCAAGCAATCCCATTCATGTCTATAGGATGAAGCAGCTGTATGGATACAGTCGCTGGTCCCTATTTATGGCCATGCGGTTGCTTGGCTGTCAAACTGGGACCAGCAGCCATGTCCATGACCTAAATATTGAATTACAGATCTACAAAAGCACTGTGATTTGGATTGGTGCTCAGTGGTAACACTTTTCATTGATGCTCATTACAAAATTACAACTTTGCATTGGTGCACAGGTAGAAACTAACTTTGCTTTGCTGTTCGGGGATAAACTTTAACTTTTAAAGAGGAGTTCCAGGTATGGCTATTTTTGCATTGTTACATTGGTCCAGCTTGGGTGATTTGCATTCACTGAGAAAATGCAAAGTGTTCTCTGAAAGGCGTCCATGCCACGTAAGTGACTTTCTGTGTACACTGAGCAGTAGGGCAGCCGCTTGGCATGGGACCAGGAAGTCAGTGGCAATCATAGTAATAGCAGTGCCTACTACAATTATTTCTAGTTTCCAAGGGGATCTCACAGGTATGACATACACATACTTACATTGCTTCAAGCTGGACCGATGTAATTGTTCAAAAATAGCCATACCTGGAATTCAACTTTAACCACTTCCCGTCCGGCCCATGTACATAAACGGCAGTGCAGGAGCGGGTTGCCGTTCATAAATGGCGCCTGCATTTTCAAGCCGTGTGCACTCCCTGGGACACCGATCGCTGTACGGGACCTTTGTGTGAGGTCCTGATCATGTGATCACTGATTGGCCAATCAGTGATCAGATGAACAGTAGTAAACAAGATGTCACTTCCTGACTTCATTGCTTACTACCAGTGAAATCTGTAAATGATCACAGAGATCACATGGTACAAGGCTATTCATAACAGCCTTGTACCATGTGACAAGCTGTGACCAATCACAGCTCTCACAGTATTTCTCAATAGCTGCAAGAATGCAGCCAAAGAGGAGAAATGATTGCTTTTACAGCCTTTATGGGTGTAAAAGCAATCCGTATGAAAAAAAAAAATCTTCATCACCCCCACAAGTAGTACAGTGTCACTATGGTGACACTGTACTGCTAGGGTGACAGTATGTAAAAAAAAACATAAAAATAATATAAAAAAAATGTAAAAAACATTTTTGAAAAATTATCATTTTTGGTTATAAACTAATTTTTTTTTTGTTTTTTTACTAAAAAGATAACTGAATAAATTGTATGAAGAAAGATTATTTATTTGCAAAATATTATAAGAAAAACACTTTTTTTCAAAATTTTTCGACTTTTTCATTTATATAGCAAAAAAAAAAAAATCCCAGTGGTGAATAAATACCACCAAAATAAAGTTTTATCTGTCTCAAAAAATGTTAAAAAATTCATATGGGTACAGTGTTGCATGACCGTGCAATTGTCATTCAAAGTGTGATAGCGCTGAAAGCTGAAAATTGGCCTGGACAGGGTGAAAGTGTCTGGACTGGAAGTGGTTAATTAGTCTCTATCATTGTTTATGACAAATAGCATGCTAATAGGGGCAGCCACACTGGTTATCACAGTCTCTGGTTATGCAGGGAAAGGCACTTAGCACAACAGTAAAGAGCTAAATCATTGGCAGTTCAAACAGATCAGTCTTTAAAGTGTGGTACAAGCATGACAGTCTGGGTCATCAAGTCCTTCTCACCACATCTGTTCAGTTACTGTCATGTGCCTCTTAAGCTGGGTACACATAGGCCCAAAATCAGCCAAAAACGGTTGGTTCAGCAGGAGCCAGCTGACTTTCGGCCCGTGTGCACAGCTGACTGTTCTACAGAAGCTGGTCTTATGACAAAAACAGGAAAAACCAACATCCGACTGGCATCCAGTCAGCCAATGGCTGCCAGCGCTGATCAGTATATTCTGGCGGAGGGCAGTCCCCCTGTCAGAACATAAAGGCGGAGCGTCGGAGATCGCCGCATTAACATTACTTGTGTTATTACGGCAATCTCTCTGGGTTTTTTTTTCCATTCAGCCTGCTGGATTGAACAAATAAAAACTTCTCATGTGTACTCCGCATTAGAATCCCCTATATAGTTGTCAGCTGACTCATGACTTTACATCCGTCTCAGTGCCAGGGGAAAGAGAAAGTAAGGACAAACCTTTCAGGCCTGGGGCGGACTGGCAACTCATGGGGCCCCCGGGCAATAGGGGATCATGGGGCCCCTGTGTCCTTGCTGAAACTCAAAAAATCCTATGAAAAAGGTACCATGGGGCATCTCATGGGGCACCCTACTGACTCCGGGCCCTCAGGCAGTGCCCAAGTTTCCAAATGGTCAGTCCACCCCTGCTTCAGGCAGCATACTGGCAGATGTATAAGCATTGTTTCAGGAGATAAAGTGAAACTATTCTTTGACAAATATAAATTTGCTGCAACAGCGATGGAAGCCCTGGGAGGCCTCTCAAAGAACCCTAGGGCTCTGCGGAACTCCGGTTGAAAAACCCTAAACTAGAGTATCAGTCAAGTGTCAATGTTAAATACTACAATTCAGAAATATTAAGGTGCCAAAAGGATGACAATGAATGAAACAAAATCAATTTGTCTTACATTTGAGGAGAGATATGGACACGTAGTCTATTTTGAAAATCAGTGAAAGTTAAAAGCTCAGGCAGTTGGTCATGTGATTTCTGTTAAAGGGGAGGGTCAGCCAATCTGAAGTCTGCTTCTGGCTAGCAAAGATTAAATGACTTGATGCCTACTTTGGTCACATCACTGGCATAAAAAGCCCAAAGCAACTTTTTTTCAGGAAAAGGTCCAAACTTCAGCCCTTCTATTACTCTTTATCTTTCCCAGCAATACTAATTTTGGGT